GAAAATCAGAGCATCTTATCTGAGCATCTGAAGGTTGCTATTATCCTCTCTTTCCTTGGCAGCATACGGCAACAAGTCACTACTTGTATTCTGCAGTTATATCAATGCTTAAAGCTGTGGTGGAACAGGCATAGAAACTGTAGAGATAGCCAGAGGAAAAAATATATATATATATTTTTTTTTGTTACAGTACTTCAGATGACAACTTACTGAAGAACATAGAACTGTTTGACAAACTTTCTCTCCGATTCAACGGCAGAGTTCTTTTCATTAAGGATGTTATAGGGGATGAAATCTGCTGCTGGTCTTTCTATGGACAGGGTCGGAAACTTGCTGAAGTCTGTTGTACCTCGATAGTGTATGCCACAGAGAAGAAGCAAACCAAGGTATAGGAGTTTTACCCACTTGTCTACTATAGTTTGTAATGAATCAGTTCAATAATCCATAGTGGGAAGATGTGGATGTACCAGATTGCTTGGGGGAGGCAATGTCATTTCTTGGGGAGATTTTGATACTGGCAGTCATGAATATTGACTGGAATTGATGGTCAGTGACCTCCATGTTACTTGGGTGGCTCACTACTTACAGTGCTGTGGCACTATCTGGTACTTGCTAAAAGATGGCATGTACTAGGCTGAATTCAGAGAAAGCTGAAGGACTGCAAATGGTAATTCTGAAAGTGCAGTCTTTTTAGCACTGATCTGTAAAGTTGGTGGAATTTTGTCCCAAAACCACATAAATGCCTATAAACTTTAAGTAAGGATTTTAATGTTATTATACCTACTTAAGCTTACTATTTGCAGTTACTTAACTTACCAACTTTGTTTCTGTTGTGTTGATGTAGATATCGTATGTAATTTGACTAAATGGTTGCGTCTGTTATTTCTGGGCAGGTGCTCAGTCAGGTTACCCTGTTTAGGTCAGGAAAATGACATCTGCTGTTCTCTGTAGGTTGAATTCCCCGAGGCACGTATTTATGAGGAAACTCTAAACGTCTTACTGTATGAAACACCACGAGTTCCTGATAACTCTCTGCTGGAAGCAACCAGCAGGAGCCGAAGCCAGGCCTCTCACAGTGAGGATGATGATGGTTTTGAACTTCGTGACCGAGTGCGCCGAATCCACGTGAAGAGATACAGCACCTATGATGACCGTCAGCTTGGCCACTAGCGTGTCAGTGGAGGAGAGAGGGGTTGCTTTCAAGGCTTGTATCAATATTCTTTGACAGAGATCAGGAAGTAGGGAGGGATCAGTTGGACTCCAGACTGATTTTCATTTGGCTTCTTGTCTCTCCAGAGAAGCAAATGGGCATTTATGCACACAAAGCAACACTAAAGGCCAAGGGCTTAAGAACTAAGGTGTTTGTTTTGCACCATGTGCTTTAAACACAGACTGGCCCCTTTTTCATGCAGCATGGGAAATGGGTTCCAAAACACTGATTGTGACCATTTGTGGTCTAATGATGTGTACGTATCTTACTTCCTGTGGGAAGTACTGCTTTTCCTGAATGAGACGGAGTGATTTGAAAGTATTTTTTTCAGTTACCTGTCCTTTTAGGGTTTGGTGAATGGAACTCTCAGTTCTTAAATCAAAACACTGAAGAGGGGGTGGACAGAACATGACTACTTCTACAAAACACTACAGCTGATAACCCCTGGAGGAACAGTTAGCTATCCACTAGTAAGGTGCAGCGCATATGTGATTTCTTTCACCTGTTTTTCCCTTATGCACATACAGCAGTTTGTGTTCCAGTGCAGTTGTATTTAAAACTCATTAATCCTAAGGCTTGCTTCTCTGAGAAGTCAAATCATCAAAAAAATCTCCCCCTGTGAAAAATAAGAAATAACTGAAAATTTAAATACATACAGAATGATGTCATGGGAGCTGGAAAAAATGGTGAAGGAGTAAAGTTTATCAAATAAGAAAACTTTAAGAACAGATTGTGGTAGGGATGGCATTGTTCAGGGCTTTGATAGTTTGATCCTGTTCATCTAAAAAATGGCAACTTGTAGAATTATGCAGTTTTACATTAGTTTCCCCCCTTGGCCCAAAGTGTTATTTGATGTTAAATTTCTCCAGCAACAGGGGTTTTTTTCCTGATGGCTGGAAAAGTGCAGACTACACAGTTTTAATGCTAGGTAATATTAATATAGTGAAGAATGAGTTTAAATTTTGTGCTCTGAATCACTTCTAGAGCATAGAAGTTGAAGAATAATCGTAAAAACTTTGTTCTGGCATGCAGGAGGTCCTGACAGAGGAAAGAGATGGTAAGCTGAAATATCAGCTTTATTCTGAGTGCTTGATTGGATTTGATTGGAATTTGAGGGGACTATTCAGAAGATTGGAGTGCTGGCTGTTTTGCACGTTGGGTCTCTAGAAAAACTTTGTGTAGTATGAGAAGTTGCTAATTTCTTTTTAACTGTTTGATTGTATGTTTCAAATGTGGGTTGCAGATTCAAATTTTACCAGTTATACAAGGTTACTACTTGCAGGTTGCTCACTGGCACGTGTGGACATGTGTCAGTGGCTTAGCGTGCTCCTCCACTGCTTTTATTTCCTTATATTTTATGTGAAGGTGGAAGCCTCAGATTCCATGATGGTTAGTCTTGAACTCCTTTCACCAGTGCCAAAATTACATAGAAGTTTTAAAGCAAATTAATGTAAAAGCCAAATTAATGAAGTAAAGTCATAACTAAAATTAAGATAGAAGATTATTCAAAAAAAAAAAAAAAAAAAAAAAGGGAGGATGGGGAGGGAACAAAACAGTGATTTCCACTCAGGCTTTTGAAAATGTAACCCTTGAGGCTTTGTTAGAAGACACTAATGGCTGCAAAATGTGGGAGGTTTATTGCCCAACTGGGCCTCTAATGAACGGCACTTATTTCCTCACATTCGGGAAGTAAGTTGCCACATAATGAACCTGCCTTGTTCTGAAAGGCCTCTTTAAAACTCTAACAACTTCTTTTCTTTTTGTATTGCTTTCTTCTAGTTGTTTCTCAGCTGTTCTTTTCTTTTGTGCCAGGAAAAATACATTCGCTGAGATCAGTTTTGACTAAAACTTTTGTTTTTAATTGTGATAAAGTGTGATGTGGATTTCATTTTTCTTCTTTTTTTCAGTTGATTTTTCTTCACTGATACTATTTATATTAAATCATGGTGAGTGCTTTGAAGCCACCAGTGGAGACTGTAGTGAAATGGTCTTTTTGCTTTACTTGATAGTTTCATTTTTGTCTCGTACTTTTTTGTTTTTTCCATAGTGTAACGAATAAGTCTGGCTTTTAAAAATTCATTTGTATGGCATTTGTATTTCTTGGTAAATGATTATTTTTTTTTTTTTCATCACAGTGGATGTTAGCAGATTAAGTAAGTGACATGGGTAGCTTTGCACAACTGTTCAGGGAAGTTATAAGCAGAAAAATGACAAAGTGAAAGAGTGTGTCAGATCAGTCTGCTGGTACAGATACTTCAGCTGGTGGTTCACATCTGTGCTCACAGTATTCCTTAAGAGGAGTGATTCATGTTGTGGAGTTCTTACTATGCTGTAAGAAGCGGGGGGGGGGGAAGCTTTTGCATTGATTTAGCTAGTTTTCTTTTCCTCGTATCCCATAGCAACAATTAGTTTTCTCTATTTAAAAGACAGTTTTAAAACCATGGTCCTGGTGTTTGTCCAGATAAGGTGTTCAGGATGTGGCTGAGAAGATCCTCGGTGAATAGCTGTGGTGGGATTCCACTAACAGTCCAATAGTTCCCTCCACTGGTGGACAGACCAGGAATTGGAAAGCATCAGGAAATTCACTCACCAGGAAATTCACTCACTCTTAGGCGTGTTCTGGGATGTCTGCACACCACTAAATGATAGTGCTGTTAGAGATTCCCATCCTAGGGACAGCTGCTGTGCCATTTTTCTGATGAAATCTGGAATGCCCTGGGTTGTTTCTTATGTAATTGCATAATTTACATGAAAGCTCAGTAACTGTAAATGTAGACATGGATTCTGCCATCACTTACACAGTTCATAGGTTAAACTTCTTTTTTCTTGTGCAAGTGGTACAAACTAATTTATTTTCTCTTAAGAAGAGTCCTGCTTATCTGAAACTGTTCCAGGGTGGAATGTTAACTGGATGTTCTTCCACCAAAATCACGACACACTGATAGTACAATCTCACTGCTAAGCTCTGATAATTTTCAACATGCGTTTTTGATGCAATGCGTACTTTGTAATTCTCATCATAATTTGCTTTCGAGGTAAAGGATATCCGTTCTGACACACATACACATTCCTACATATTTCTACAGCCTGGTATAATGGAAAAAAAGCAGCACTGAAGAGGGTGATGCAGCATTCACCTGTTTGCAGTAAGCTGACCCTTTTTAGAACAAACAGCTGTGCTTCCTATGAATCTTCTCTGCTGGCTTTAAGTATCACATTATCATTTCTAATTTCTAATTATATGCATTTGCGTCTGCTAATTAAGAGTAACGGCTTCCTACATAGAATATCAGCATTGGATGTGTTTACTGATGTGACTGAATTTAAAGTAGCCATTAGGAGGAAGAAGTAACTCTTAGCCTCGTTTGTAACCTTACTTTCTTGGCTTCTGAATTTAAGTGAACTTTGTGCATTCAAACATTGTATTAGCAGACTGAAAGAACGAGTGGAAAGCATTAGCTGACATTTATACACAAGCAGTGTAATAAAGTCTTACATGATGCTCTAATGGGGTCCTGACACAATGAAAAACAACCTCAGCTTTTCTGCAGAGAAGGAGCCTTGGTGCCTTGAGTGAATGTCTTATGTTAAACGGTTCTTCAATATCGGTGTTAATTAGGCAGTAATGCCAAAATAGAGAGCTCTGCAGGGCAGCAGCCTCCAACTGCTTGCTAAATGCCAAGGCAAAATTAAATGCTTAACCTTTGCTTTGACATTTAATTTTTGGAATAGGAAACATCTATCCTACTGTAATATTCCAGTGACTTCACATCTCTTACAATTTTTGGTTAAATATTAAAAAAAAAAAAAAAAAAAAAACCCGACCAAGCTTGGAGGGCATTGAAAAGACTGATAGCATGGTATTTCACTGCCTTCAGCCTGAAGCAGGGCAATGCTTTTATTTTTTGTATTTTAAATTTGCAGACATAATTCACTTTTAGAAATGCTGGTAAAGTATAATATAGATTATAACCTGTGACAATCCTTGCTGTTAAACTTTTATGGCCAGATTTTACGTTGTGCATTCTGTTAGGACAACTGAAGTCCTGTGAAGAGATGAGGGAACACAACCTCTGTTTCAAGCTTTGCCACTAACTGGGTGGCACAGACAGCAAGTCAATTTTTCTGGATGTGAATTTCTCCTCATCTGTAATAAAATGAGGGTAAGACTGTCCCCTACTTCAGAGGGATGCTGAAGCTTAGTTTGTTTCATAACAATAGAGCACTTTGGATTTCTACGTTTTGTATCTGGAGGATGGTAAATGTGATTGCTGTTTAAACTGATGTTTCTGCAATCAAGCTGTTTTCTTATGGCATCAGGCTTAATTTTCTTTTTGTCTAACTTTTAAAGGTCAGTCTTAGGAATAAAATAATGAATGCAGTTAACCATATTAACAATGAATAAGGTGTTTTCTCTGTTATCAACGAGGTAAACGGAATGCAGGTTTTTAATAAAGCATTATATTTTAGATTGCCCTTGAGTTTTTCTCCAGCATCAGAATTTTCTGCCATACAGGGTTCCCAAGATGCAGAAATAGTGGCTCAGGGTCTGTCTGTCTGCCTGCTGTACAGATGTGTCCCTGCTTTTCACATAAGCCCTGCAGGCTCCTGTTTTGTAGGAGGCATCAGCATGCTGAGAGTGTGCTGCAGGCAGCTGCTTTCTTTCTCTGGGATTTTCCTTCAGTTGTAGCAATGTTGAGTTTTGTGTTCATGACAATAACTTCCTAAAAAGAATCACAGAGCATACTGATCTGTGGACATTTAAGGCCCCATGCAACTTCTGCTGCCACAGAAGTAACCCAGCTCTTGTAATGGAAGTCCCGAACCTGTCCAGGCTGCAGCTGAGGAGCAGATAGCTCTGGGCAGATGGCACCTGCCGTCTGTCCTGTTGGGCTTTCTTACCTCGTGAGCCAAGATTCGTGGTTGCTGCACTGACGGTCCTTGCTTTCCTTGATTCGCCACTTCTGTAGTGGTGTCTGTGCTGTGGGGGTGGACTGAGGAAGTAATTGCCAAAAAACCCGACATTTCCGTATGGTTTTGCAAAGTTCTACGTACGTATAACGTATAACGAAATGAGCCCTAGCAAAAGGCAGTTTAAACGCGTGTAACTAACCTGGTGCTCCGGCCCCTTCCTTTTTCCCGGTGCGCTGCCGCAGGCTTCCACGAGTACCGCACGGCCGCGATCCCGGGGCTCCCCGCTGCCGGGCGCGGTTGACCGCCGCCAGGGCGGTGTCACGGCGGGCTGCTGAAGGAGCGGCGCGGCCGCGGGGCCCTCAGCCCTCCCTCAGCGCTGCGCGCGGCGTCCCCGGCTCGGCCCGCCCGTCTGTCGACGCAGCCGCCGCGAAGCGGAGCGGTCGCCGCAGGCTCCCCGGCGGCGGCGGCAGGCAGGTGCGGTTCCGCCCCGACTCCCAGCGTCGCCGCCCGCGGGCGGGCCGAGCCGCCTGACGTCAGCGGGAGCCGCGGAAGATGGCCGCGGAACCGCGCCGTGCGCGGCGGCCCCTCCGCGTCGGGCAGGGCGGTGCCGCGCCTTCGCCCCGCGGGCGCTCCCACAGCGGAGCCAGAGGACGGCTGTGAGCGCGGGGCTCGGCGCGGCGGGCGGCCCCGCTCCCCGCTCCGCCATGAGCTGCTCGGCGGACGCCGCGAAGGAGAAGCTGCTGTGGAACGTGAAGAAGGAGGTGAGGGCGGGCTGAGCCTCCACGCAGGACCCGCTGCCGCTCGGGGCCGCATCGCGACGGTTCCTCGTGGGGCGGCTTCGGTCCGGTAACGGCAGCCGGAGCGCTCCGCGCGTTTAATCTGTTTGGCAGCGGGGCCGATAGTCCGTCCAGAGTAAATAGAACGAAGCTTTGGGCGGATTGGATTGAAATCTGACTTCCCTTCGGGAGGGATCGGCTGAAGTGCGGGATTTGTTCCGCTGCTTGACGCTCCCGGTGCTGTTCGCGGGCGGAGCAGACGCGCACCGCGGCGATGCATCGGCGCTCCGGGGAGAAGCGGAGGCACGGCGCTGCCGTGGGATGGCGGCCGCGTGTCCACGGGGCGCTGAGGAGCTTTGCGCTGCCCCCGCCGCTCCGGGCGGTCCGGCCGAGCTGAGCTCCGTCCCTCGGTCCGCCGCCCCCGAGCAGCGCTGGTAGCTGCGGTGGTAACAGCCGGGCTGCACCGGGCATCCCTGTGGCGTTCCGGCCGTCACAGCTGCGTGCGGCTGTTCTTACATAAGAACGAGGCGAGAATGTAATGCTTGTCCCTCACAGCAGGACGAAGTTTTTCTAACGGCTTCTCCCACCTGCTGACAGCTGGGGAGATGGGCCGTGGCGGGGCGGTGCAGCCACAGGTGTGCTGCTTCGTGACGGAACTGCGCCTTAAGCTGGGGCCTCTGGGACGCAGCAGAACGGGCTTTGGCGTGGGATTGAGTGCGCTTCTCTCACGGGTTGGTGCTTATGTAGCCTGAGATGCGTTTTCTCACCGCAGCATTGTCCTGATGTGTGAAAGGGATTTTCGTGATCTCGTCTGGCTCGAGCTCAGAGCTGTGTGTGAAAAGGTATCGGTAGGTGCCGAGAGGGAGACTCTTTTCACGCGGTCTGTTAGCGCAGGCAGGAATTGAACACAAAGCTCTGCCACCCCGGCCGGCAGAGTTATGGAGAGGTTTTCAACCTCCTTTTTTTCAGTCTGGTTTTTCCCACAGCTGTTTTTTGCCTGCCTTACTTCTGTTTTATTTGGAAGTTGAACTGCCCCGTGTACACTCTCAAAGCTGCCATTCCAATTTTTAGTTCTCTGAAGCCGGGCTGCTCATCCTGTTGCATTATTTTCACGTTAGCTCAGTATCTAATGGAGTTCAAGTAAAATGTTGGGTTTTTTTTTTTTCTGTATAGTGTTTACCCTGATCCTATTAAGATTCGGTGAGTTTGCAAAATACAAAAGGGGAACCTCTGAAGTCGCTTGGTGCAAAGTGTCTTTTTGTGTGCGTTTTTTATTCTCTTTCCCCACAGAAAAAACTCTTATATTGTTCCTTTGGGAAAACTTGATGCTTTTTGCTTTTCTCAAATGGACTTTTCATTCCCCACTGGTAAAGAATGTATTTTGTTGACTCTGATAGAAAGGAGGACATGTAATGTGTTTTGAAAATCTACTGGGATTCGTGCTGAGGCTGCTTATAAGTTCACATTTCAAACATCTCTCTCTGCAGGATAATCTGTTGTGATGAGCAGGCTCATAAAACAAGATTTCTCTAACCATTTCCTTCTACCTTTTCAAATGTGAGCTTTTTGCCTTTTATGGATGTAAATACTCTTTCTAGCTGTGAAACAAACAGAATAACAATAACCTTAGCAGTTCCACTATAAAAAAAAAAAAAAAAGTTCAGAGCACTTCAGAAATGCAGTTGCTCGTCTTACAACTAAAATGCAATGAATTCTGAACAGAGATTGTTTAACTGCTTTCATTTACACCATCCAGTTCTTACAGAGTAACAAACGTCAGTGCAGCAGAAGCAATCAATAAATGAGTGGTAGTTGCAGAAGCTGAAGAAGGTAAGGATGTGGGAGATGAGGTTTTCTTCCTTGAGGAAAAAAAGCAATGGGTGTGAACTGTGTTCCTGGTTATTGCAGTGCTCTGTGAGCACTGTTCTTTGCCTCTGACACCCTATTATACCTGTGGTGCATCTCCAGCATCCCATCATGATGCGCGGTGCAAAAAAGTGAAAATCAACAGAATTATAATGATATAACAAAAACTGAAATAAAACCAAACATTTCTCAGCTTAATAAATTGTATGTTGTGACCTAAGTTTGGTGTTTGCTTCTGAAAGCACTGGCCAAAAGTCAGAGTAACCCATTATAATGTGCAACGTCTGTCGAAGGAGCTTGTCTGCCTTAGTGTGTGGGCAGAGCTACCATCAGGATATTCTTTGCTCCTCAGATGCAAGGATTTTTGCTTGGATGTCTTTTCCATTCTTAGGGTTGGTAAACTTGGTAACCGGTGCACGTGAACAGAATGTCTTTGGAGACTGTCACTGTGGTCTGCTAAAATAAAGCTTTCTGCAGTTCTCTGGCTTTGTTGCCACTTATGGTTCATGAATGGAGGGATTGAAATAAAAGCAGTAAGTGCATCAGCTTCTTTGTGATTGCACAACCTGGCAAGAGTGTAAGGCTGACTGTTTGGGTAGGTAGCATGCTGACCTTACAGAGGAGGCATGGGATGGAAGGAGCCTGTGGCATCTGGGGTGAACCTCTGTCCCTTGGAGCCACCTGAGAGGTTTTCTCTCCAGGTGCTGTTCTGTTCATGCTGCTGCCTCCTCTCTTGCAGCAAATCCAGCACACAACAGACCAGAAGTTCTAACAGATTTCTCACTTGTGCAGGTGGATGAGTGAAGGGAGGAGGGGATGCTTGTGTTTATTTTAATGAGAATAGGTTGCACTTGATAAGGTGGATGCCTTTATGGGCTCAGAAAGCTTCACTGACAAGTGCCTTCCCAGAAGAGACTTTAGAGCCACAACAGCGTAATTCCCTACAAAGAGGATGATGCAGAATTTAAGGGGAAGGCAAAGAGCTTGTGTTCCACTTGATCAGAGTTTGACTGAACTCCTTGCCTAGGGCATCCCTGAATTGTGTGGCATTGAGCAATGACGTACAACTGAAGAACAGCTCATTCCAGCTTTTGAATTGTCTGACAGTGCCCTGAAAAATGTGTTTTAATAACATGCAGTAATTCTCCTGAAAATTTGCAAAGCTTTGCTCTGTATTTGGTGGCAGCTGGGAACAGACATTAATTGTTCAGTAGGTCTGTACTGCTTCGTTGGGGGTCCTAGATTTAAGACCCAACAATGGGCTGACCACATGGCGCTGCTGCACAAATGTAGTGTTGATTTATTGCATTCATAACCTTGTTCTTTCTAATTGTGGCTACAGTTTTTTGTTTTTCTTTCTTCCTGAGTCCACACAGTGGAGTCTACATCAGCTACCAAGCTAATAAACACTAATGTGCAGGGAATGCCTGGGAAGTGTGTGACAGCAGGAACTGCCTTCAAGCTCCTGAGCTCTAACTCCTATTAAATTACTCATCTTCCTCCCTGTAGTCAGAGGCAGGATTCCAGTTACTGTTCTTTGGGGAGCTGGGACTGAAATTCTTAGCTGCAGTCTTAAGAATTAGTGGTGCCTAAATTCAAGTCTATAAACTTCAGTCACATGTGCATGACTTATCCTGGAGCTGCGCTCTGGTGCTCCCTCTTCTAGCCACCTTAATGCTAGTGGCTCTTGGGTACTTTTCCCCTGCAGCAAATTGAGCCATTCACTTAGTGGCTTAAATATGTTTGGGCTCTAAAGAGGATGTCACGTGTTGAAATGTCCATACAGCGAGCAACGGGGCTGGGGCTTTGTGCAGCTGCTCGTAGGGTCAGGGGGTGTGGAAGTGAGTATGGGCCTCAGGCTGTCAGTTGGAAGAAGGTGCATGTGATGGTTCCACAAACGGTCTCACTGGAGGAACAATTACTCCAAACTGAAGAGAGCACCTTTGTAGGCAGCTACCACCTCAAATACACCGCCCAGATGCTGCCCAAGCAATGCATCTGCAGCTCCTCTGGGCTCAGGCACTAAGAAGGAAGAATTGCAACCTTTGGACCTATCAGCACTACAAAGGAGCGGTAACCCAGCTAGCTTTAAACTGGTTATCTCAGGTACCAGGTGCTGCTTAATGAGTGCTCAGTGCAGACCTGCTGAGAAGCAGGAGTTGAGGTCTCCTAGACATGGCGGCAGGCTGGTGGTGCCCATTGTTGTGCCACTTGCACTAGCACTCAGTCAAACTGAGCTGATACACAGGCAGTATGCTGAGTCTGTTGATGGAGTTGCCCGTGTGGACAGGTGGTTACCTGCTAGATAATTCACTATTTGATGGACTCCAGGGCTTGCTTAGGATGCATGTCTTTGCAGCTCAAGGGTTCCTTGTGTTTAAAAAAGAGCAGAATACTCCGTGTGGGGGGGAAAAAAAACATGCAGGAATACATGATCTTGATTTAGTGAGCAGAAGTAATGTACGCAGAAAGGCCAGGGATGCACCATGTAAAAAGCTTGCTAGCTGACTAGCTGACTTCTGCTGAAGAAGTTCTCCAGAGGGCTCTCTGAGTGCTCTGAAATAGTTCAGTGTTTTAGAGAGGCCTGCTGCAGATAGACTCATCTGTGTTCTCCCTGTGGTTTACCCCATCCTATAAAAAGGTGTTTCATTTTGTTCTTCCTTTCCCTTCTTGCATCCTTTTACCATTTCCTCTAAGCAGAGAGTAACTTTCATGAGTGATTCATCTTCTAGCAGTGGGGAAATGCCAAGCAAAGGTTGAAAAGAGCTGA